CAAGTGGTAGAAGATATATACATCACATATAACCAACAAAGGGTTCATATGCAGTAATATAGAAAGAATTTCTCCACATCAGTAAGAAAAAGATAGACAACCCAATCAGTTTAGCTGAGAAATTTAAACAGGCACAGCACAGAACACACACATACCAGAATGGCTAAAACGAAAACACCTGGCAATACCAAGAACTGGCAAGAATACAGAACAACAGCAACTTTCATACTGCTTATCGAAGTGTAAATTGGTATAATCACTGTGGAAAACTAGTATCATTTATTATTCTCAAGTTGAACATACACTTATCCTGTTATCTAGCAATTCCACTCCTAGTAAATGCTCAAAAGAAATGTGTACATATGTTTACCAAAAGGCATATGCAAGAATGTTCACAGCAGCATTATGTGTAATAGTTAAAAACTGCAAACAAACCAGCTGTCAGTAGTAGAAAGGATACTTAATTTATAATAATAATGAAGCATGATTTAAAATATATTTACAGGGTGGAATACAACATATTCAATGAGAATGAACTAACATCAGATATATGCAACACCATTAACATATCAACATATCAAACACAATGCTGAGCAAAAAAAAGCCAAAAGAAAAAGACTAAATACCATATGATTCTATTTACATAAAGATCAAAAACAGACAAAACTAATCCATGGTACTAGGATGGTGTTTACTTTGAAGGAGGAAAAAGAGACTAGTGATTGGGAAGGGGCAAAGAAAGAGTTCTGAGGCACTAGTAATGTTCTATTTCTTTTCCCGAGTGGTGGTTACATGGATACATTCGCTTCACACAATTCATCATGCTGTAAAATCATCATCATATAGTTTTCTGTATGTATGTTATATTTGAATTTTTCAAAAAGTAAAAAATAAACGTTGACAAATAATCAAATGTTGACAAATGAAAGAATGAACTGCTAAATTTAGGACAAACTGGTCAAAGAGGTTAAATAATTGAAAAGCAGATAAAATAAAAATTAGTACAGGGATAGAAAAATATACATATATTTCTTCAGGGCGGGAATATCAACTGTTACACAAGTCTAAATGCAGCATATCCTAAGAAGGAATGAAATAGAAAATGTAGGTAGAATAATTGCTTTGCAAATGAAGAAGGAAATTAATATTAATATGCTGTATTGGACTGGAAAGAAAGTGTAAGAGGAAAAAAAGCATGGTAGCTCACATGGAAGAGGTCTTGGGCCTTTGAGGGGAGCTTCCCGATAGTATCTCAGAGGTAATGGACTGCTCTTGCCCTATCATCTATTACTTACCTGAACAGAGGCCTCTGGTCAGCTCTCTCTCAACCATCCATGGCTCTTTTCCTTGTTCCAATAAGGAGATCACAGCTGGCTTAGAATTTGAAAGTCCTGCTCACAAGAAAAGACATGGGCATGGTTATGCTGTAGGTGTCCCAGAAATCAGATCAGTCCCTTGGTGATCAAGGAAGAGATGCCACTACAGGAAGGCCCAAAGAAAGATGGAGAAGATGAAGCTTCAGTCACAGCCCACTGGAGCTGCCTATTTCCAACTCTTCCATTCCATTCCAGCTCAGACCTTTCCTTGGGGAACAGGGAGTACAAATTCAGCTGGTTACTTGAAGTGAATATTCAAAATGGAGAAGGGAGACATTCCTGAGGGCAGATTTTGAATTTTGGGGGATAGTTATTCTTACCCACTGAAACCAGGTTGCTGAAATTCTCCAACATCACTTCTTTGTATAAATTCATCTGACCAGAGTCCAGACATTCCCATTCCTCCTGAGAGAAGTCTATGGACACATCCCTGAACATCACTGACCCCTGAAACAAGAAACATGCTTCACAATGAAGCAGTGAAGAAAAGGATGGTAGCAGAGGAGATGGCAGAAGGCCCTGCAGGAAAGGACAGAGTAAGCAAACTGAAGGGGCTGGGACTCTTACCATATCAGTAGAAGACATATCTCCTGTACACAGAGGGATATGTCTAGGAATGTGCAAATAGATTTAACTTTTCCACTGATATGAAGCAGCAAGCATTCAGCTCAGCGAGTGAGCTCCTTCCCTATTCCTTTTTTCCCTTCGCTCCCCAAGAGAAGGAAAAATCTGATGGACTTTCAAAAATATCTTACAAGGTATTTTGAAGTAACATTTCAGA